AGAACCCCCCAACAGCAGGCAGAATGAATAAAATTAAAAAAAAAAAAAAAAAGTGGTAAGTGCTGGCAGGGGTGTGATGAAAGGGGAACTCTCTTACATTGCTTGTGGGAATGTAAAGTGGTCCAGCCACTATGGAGAACAATTTGGAGATTCCTCAAAAATCTGCAAATAGAACTACCATATGATCCAGCAATTTCACTCCTTGGTATCTACCCAAAGGGCAGAAGAATTCTTAATCAAAAAAGTGTTTGCACATTGATGTTTATTGCGGCACTATTCACAATTGTTAAGACATGGAACCAACCCAAATGCCCACGAACAGATGAATGAATTGAACAACTGTGGAAAGTTAAATAATTCTTTAAAGAAAAAAAGAAAAGGAATGGAAAAGTAAAAATGACAAAAAAAATCAGCCTGTAACTAAGTATGTCAATTATTTAAGGGAAAATGATAGGGAGTTTTATTAGTTTTCTCAAAGAAGTTTCAGAATAATCTTAAAAGCTAAATCTTTGTGGCTACATTTTATATATGAGAAATCTGAGCTCTGTTTTAAGTAACTTGCGTAATATCCATGTTTAGAACTGTCAAAGTTATTTAAATCCAAGTTTGATCACAATGGCTGAATTGTTTTCTCCTAATGATACTTTAATACTCTGTGAATCTGTTTAAATTAAATATTTAATTTTATTACATTCTTCAAAGACTTTAAAATGGATAAAATAATAGTTCCAAATGGTTTCAAATTAATCTTTTTTACATGAAAATTGGTGAAAAATATTTTAAAATTTTTCTCAGAAACAAAGCTAATAATTCTACTTAGGGTACAAGAAAAAAGATTTTAAAAATCATTTGGAAGTAGGTTTGATTGTCTTTTTACCTTCCCAATTGCTCTGTCTCTTTCCAAGGTGGTCAGCATTTTCTGCTTCAGTAAACTGTGGTGCTTCTCATGTAACACCCTTATAGTTGGTTCATAAGATGCATAATGTAACTTCAACCTATGAAAAATAAAAGGCCAGTCACATCTTAAAGGGTAACTGAGTTAAACCAGTGATTTCCAAGTAGCAGCTGAATCTTTAATTTTTTTTTTTGCTTTGAAATAAGAATGAATAACCATATAAAGGTCAATGCACCAGAGCAAGGAAGCACATGAAATATTATTGAGCAGGCAAGTTGAAGGTACAAGGTGAGGAGAAATTCACATACTAGCAAATTCTGCTGTATTTAAGTATGTGTTCAGAAGATTGTGTCATTCTTTGAGACTAAAAACAAAAATATAGTTCCTTTAATCAATTAAGCATCAAAATTCAAAAAGAAAAGGCCACAAATAAGGAATGGTAAACAGAATGTCATTCACATAAATTAAACTGAAGGACAGTCTTGAAAGTCTTACATTAACAACTTTAATTTTTTAAATAATTATTTTATTAAACTTTTCTTATTTATTTTAATTTGACCAGAGAGGAAGATAGAGAGAGAAGGAAAGTGAGAAAGCAAGGCAACAGGTCCAGGACTCGAATCACTGTCGGCCATGTGGGAGTCCAGCACCCTTAACCACCATGTCACCTGCTAGCCCTGAAAGTAAGAAATCACCCCCCCCCCCGGGGGGGGGGGGGCGGGCCAGGCCCAATCCCTCAGTTGTCCTCTCAGGATTTTGGACACATAGGCTGGGTGTATGTTTCAAGCTGCCAGGTCCAGGACCTGAACCATAGTTGGCCATGTGAGAGTCCAGCACTTTTAACTACTATGCCACCTGCTAAGCACTATTTTAATCATATATTAAACCTTACATTAACAAAACCTTACATTACTGCCCAGCAGGTGGTATAGTGGTTAAGGCACTGTACTCTCACATGGCTGCCAATGGTTGAACCCTGGACCTGATAATTTGAAAAGTATGTCAGGACCTGAACATTCGTGCCCAAAATGCCCAGAGAAAATGGAGAAGGGGCTGCTATGTGGACATCCCTCCTGGTGAGTGATTATTCACTTTCCCACTCTCTGTCTCTCCTCAGCAAGTGCACATGCCCTATTGCAAAATTCCAAAGAAAAAGGAGAGCCAGCAGGTGGCATAGTGGCTATGGTACTGGACTCCCACATGGTTAACCACAGTTCAAATCCTGGACCTGGAGGCTTGAAAATAATGCTGAACATGTGTGTGTCTGTACCCATGGCAGAAACCTAAAAAAAAAAGAAAAAAATTAAAAATTATAAAAATATTTTGATATCTCATGAAAGAAATAGTTCAATTCAGCATATCAGCATATAGTATAAACACCTTAAAAATCTGTTTTATTTGTAAATGCCTTCAAAAATTTTTTACACCTTATCAAAATGTTACATAGAGTAAAATACATAGATCTTAAATATTAACAGTTCAAAGTTTTAAGTAATATGCCCACCCACCCCTGTAGTCCATATGTTTATTAGAATGCAGAGTAATTCTAAAATTTCAGAGGATCCTACAACTTCATATATTTGGTATCCTAGAACACAATCTCTCTTGAAACCTTTTTTTTTTCTGAGCATAGTAATGTTTTCTAGTTTATTCCATGTTGTCTTATATATTAGTACTTCATTCCTTTTTATTGTATTTCTTCATATGTGTATTCTATGAAGTGTTTATCCAATTTCTAGTGATAGAAATCTGACTTCTCTTCAGTTTGGGCTATCATGAATAAGGCGGTTGTGAACACTTTTAGGCAAGTCATATAAGATCTATTTTGGTCATATACTTTCATTTCTTTTAAGTAAATTCCTAGGAGTTGAATATCTGGTTTGTAATTTATACTTCTAGTCCTGCTTATTCTACCTCCTTGCCAACATTTAATAATGATCAGTCTAACTAGAGTTTATTAACTTTATTAGCAAATTTATCAATTTTACATTTTCCAATACCAATATCTGATTTGGTTGATCTTCTTCTTTGCTATTTTTTCTTTAATTTTCATGTCATACCTTTTTTCCTTAAAGGTAATTTGTTCTTTTATAGTCTTCTAAGATAAAAGATTACATCATTGGGCCAGTTGGTGGTATGGTGGTTAAGGTAGTTGTATCCCACATGGTTCAAGTCCCAAACCTGGCAGCTTGAAAAATATGCTGGGTGCATGTATGGGAGTGCTCAAAATCCCAAGAGGAGAAAGGAGAAGGGATTGTGGCATGGCCATCCTCCTGAGGGGTGATTTCTCACTTTCTAACTCTCTCTCTCTCTTTTACAATGCCTTTCTCTAGTATGTGCACACACCCTGCTTAGTGAAACTAAGAGGAAAAATAATTACATCATTACTTTTAAAACCTTTTCTCATCTAAGCATTTGAAGCCATCAATTTCAGTTGAAACTGCTTTGGCTGCATCCCACAAGTTTCGTTACGCTACAATTTCAATTATTCAGTTCAAAATTTTCTAATTTCCTTCTTTGACTCATAGATTATTTGAAACATATTAATTTCTGAATATTTGGAAAATTTCTAAATATGAATTTTGTCACTGGTTTCTGATTTAATTTGTTTGTGGTTAGAAAACATTCTTTGTATGACATTTATTCTTTGAAATTTTTAGAGACCTGTTTTCATATAACTCAGCCCATGATTTATTTTGGTAAACATTCTATGTGCACCTAAAAAATCTAAAGTAGAATTAAAGAAATGCTAATTATATTCAATCAATGGAAAGTAATGTTTTATAGAGTAAGAGAATTGGTGCCAACATTTTCTTATAACTACTTTAATAGGAGTGTTAAAATCTCCCATTATAATTGTGAAACTATTTTTTCTTTCAGTTTTACCAGTTTTACCAGGTTTTGCTTTATGTATTTTAAATCTTTTATATTAGCATACTTTTTAATATTATACTATATCTTCCTGATTCCTTTTAGTAATATAAAATGGCCCCTCTTTTTCTCTGGTTCTCAGGATACCCCTGAGGATGTTGAGTCTATGGCCGCTCTCCTCAGGCCCTATGGGCATACAGAGGTGCCCCCCATCCTAAACAGAGCTAACACTTCTGCTGTACTGTAAGGCCTGCAGAGGCCTCTTTGGCACAAGGGAATAGATGCTGCCCCCCACTTCACCCAGACAAGCCCCTATCTCCTTTCCTGAGTGATAAGTTAATGATTGATAAGGGAGAAAAGTGCCTGTATATCTAAACCACTGCAAGAATTAGTTCACATGCACTGGGAGGAAACGGAGATCCCCAGAGACTGGATTTTGAGGTACTTGATAGAGCTGGAATATAATACTGAATAAACTTTCATTGATCTTGAGGCACTTTCATGAGTCAATGTATTTAACACCTTAGCAAGAACTCCCCTGGATATGGTAAATTTGCTGCTAGGATGGCTCTTAGAGACCTAGAAAAAGTGACAACTACTCAGCAAACTAGAAATACCTGAGCTATCCAGACAGACAGTAAAGGAAGCTACACATCAGAGCAATTATAAATTGTTCTGACAGCCTCAATTCTTTCACAAAAATTACTTATGAACATTTACTTGACACTATACACTGGGAAAAAGACATTTAAGGAGTAGTCATTGAACTCTAGAAACATCATGAACCCTCTGTTAGAATGTGAGTCTATAGGGACCAGGAAATAAGGAGAGTCCTGTGTGAAATCTGGATCACTGTTCATTTATTTGGTTCATGTAGTGACCCAGTGATCAATTCCACTGTTCCCAAGTGCCTAATGTGAATTAATATACTTAGCAGCTGGAGTAAGCTTGCAGAATGGGGAAGGCCATTCTGGCCTTTAAGTAACTTGGTACCTTGAAAGAGGATGCACTATCTGCCAAGAGCACTCTGCTGACCCCACTACCCCACTCTATTTTATCTGTAATTTAGGACTCTAAATACACACATGCTAGACTACTTGATACTGTCCCAAGGGTTCTGGTTATTCCTTCTTTTTCTTTTCTCCCCCAGCCTTTTTTCCCTGAAGCTCCAACATTGCTTTCCAGCTTTTTTCTCTTTGTGCTTCAGTTTGCTTATTTTCTGTTTTCCTGTCTTTATGTTTGCTTATTTTTCCACTTGCAACATTTAATCCTACTAAGCCTAATCAGTGAATTTTTTATTGCAAGTAGAATGCTTTTTAGGGGAGGAGAGGGAGGAGGGAGAGAAAGTAAGTCTGAATAATGTCCACAAAATAATTTCTAAAAGCCTTACCATAAATCTAAGGTCATTTAAGATGGACCTCCTGCAAAGCGACACCTGCACTTTGGTGTCTATGCTTACAAGCTGGTGACCATAGTATGCTCCTTCATGACTTGGTGCCTTGACACTGAATGTATATCCTTCAAGAGCACACTGCTGACCCCACTGCTCCACTATAATGTAGAATTCATTTCATCTGGAAATAGCTCCTTGAGTCCTCTCACATCCAATCTTATTGGGATGACTGCCCTATAGGCTGGCATAGCAACAATGTGGAATGTTTTCACATTTTCTTTTTAACTCGACCCTCATCTCACACCCCAATATTCTCTGAAATTCTTGAAAACAAGAGCCAAAATTACTCATCTTTGTATTTTAAAGGCATGCTATAGTATCTGGCTCACAGTAGCTACTCAATAAATGTTGAATGAATAATTTTGTCTAAAACCTTCTGCCATAACCAAGTTACTCAGCACTAATTAAATAATAAATCTGCCCAAAGAATATGAGCAGCTTACCCTTTGAGGTCATTAATTAATTTGTTTTTTTCCTGGACTATTCGCTTATGATGCATCCGATGAAAATCACGTTCTTTCTGAGTTTTCAGCAGATCTTCTCTAGCTTTGCTGAAAAAAAATAATAATTTTAAAATCACTGCTAATTCCTTTATGAAACATTATTTAGTCTGCTATTAAATTCAGTGCTGAGAAATTCTAAAGGTAATTGGGGAAACAAAGATTCCATCATAATTCTCATTGAAGGATCACATCCAACATAATTTGTATAGGAGTCATAAGGTTTATAAAAGAGCAAACCCTATAGCTTCAAAAGTATGATTCATGAACATTTAAGTAAATGAAAATTAAAAGTATGCTTCTGGAATAACTTCTAATCCATCTACTTCTAAAGGTAATTTGTTCAGCTTACAAAATTGAAATACATATAAAATGGGATAATTTATAATAAAAATAATGGAAAATACTTTATGGAATTTAATTCTGACATCCTAGAATATAAGCTTAAAAGAATATAAACTGGATTATGTAGTTCTGATAACTGGGAAAAGAAAGCATATAATTTCTGGAAAAATCAGATGTAATGCTGGTAATCCATATAAGAAATATATACCACCAGTATATCAGATTACTGGAAATGATAGCCTAATGAAAAAAGTCTTCCATATTAGTGTTGTAATATAGATGAACTCTTCAACTGTATATATCTTCTGCCACCACCTGGCATATAATAAGCAATAGCATCCTTGCTAAATCTATGTACTATGTTAATGAGAATATTTCATTCATCTACATAGTATAAATTGATTTCAACATATAATATAAAACAAAAATTATAATGAAACAATAGTTCTGTAACAGACTTGGACTACACTGAGACGCTCACATTCTGAAAAAATGGACTGAATTAGAAGACTGACATCTCGCATTAGGAGCAGAGTGGAAAAAATCTGCTTCTCTATGTCATAATATTTCAAACTTTAGATTTACAAAAAATAAATGCACAACAACAGATTTATGCGTTAGGCTGTGTCAGAGCAATCAGTAAGGAGCAGTGTCTGGGATGTTACCAAAGAAGTCTGTGGGATGAAGTTAGGTTTTCAGGCTCCTGATAGAGCATATGCTGATTGGCACGATTTCTCACTTCATGATTTCTCACTTCACAATCAAGTATCCGTAGTGCCTGGCAACATGCTGCTGACCCAGTCTTTTGAGTTTCTTTCCCCATATTCCCATGCCATCTACCACTTTTCTTTTGGATGATCTGTATTGTTCTTTATTTTACTGCCAATTTTGTAATTTTTATCATATGTAAAACAACAATGATCAAGTAACTCCCAATATTCACAGCTAACTCCCGCCATCTAACCCTGTTTCATTTCTATGCAAATAATCTTACAGGTGTAAGAAATGATTGACTCAAATATTCAGACTTCAAAAATCATGAGGAATATGTAAATGATTAGATAAACATCGAATTTATTCCCTCTAGGTTTTAACACTTTGTGTGTATATATCTTTTATTTTACTCCATAAAGAAAAAGCTGAGAAGTAAACCATGAATTTGAAAGTCACAAATTTCTCAACTAAGCTAAGATATACTAATCTTTTAGTATTATATCTCATTTTCTTGAAGTATCTCAAAAAACTCAAGTAGTTAACACAAGTGTTTTAAACGCTGAATTTAATGAAATATTTATTAAACAAATGAATTGTGGGTGTCTTATCTTAAAGATACAACAAACAACTTCAAACATTCAGGAAATTGTCCCACAAAAAATGAAAGACTTGTTCAGTATTGCTCCAAAAAGACAGAACTTGAACAAAGGGATAAACATAACCAACCAAAAGCTGCAGGATCATTGTACAAAATGGATCACATATCTAATAGCATCTTTGCCCATATAACGTGTTTCCATATTTCACTCCTCTTCCAAAAGGAGCTATCGCAACTTAAGACTTCTCATGAATGTCCTAAATATGTTATTTAGAAGTGGAAAGCCCTCCACTGCCACCAATGGATATACTCACACTAAAGAAAAAATGGAGAGTAACTAGTTGGTATACTAAGGAAATTATCTCTTTGCTCCTCAGCTATACGTCAGTATTCTACTGATGATTCTCAGAAGGCCAGTAGGAAACAGCACACACTCCAAAGAGGGTGAATCACAATCCTCAACAATTCAGGTTCTGCCCCTCCTCACATCCAAATTAATCCCTACCACAATCCATCCTTGGTGCAGATGGAGGGTGGGATGTGTGGGGCATGGGAGAGAGAGCTGACCATCACTCTACAGGAAGCAGAAGAGCTTATCTCATGAGTCACAAGGAGATATAAACTCACCACATAATACTGACAGGTCCCTTCCAAATTGTTACATATTAAATACTGGAAATTGTTGCAATAATTATTCAGTGTAATGTTTAAGGTCAGAATATACCTATACTTTATATTGTATATGTAATTTTTCACATACTCAGTAAAGAACGCTGAGATGGTCATAGTATGCAATGACCTTAAAGCAAACTACCAGTCTTAAGAGTTTCCATGTCATAGACTTGGCTTGTCATCTGTGCATACAGTTTTTTTTTTTTTATTTACTTGAAGAACAAAACAAAAACAAAAACATAACACTACTTCTTTAAAAGCTTTCTTTTATATTTAACCATCAAGACATTTACAACTGAAATGCCTTTCCAGATGGGATTTCTAGCAAACAATAATCACTGAAATATAAAGTCACTAATGTCCATGCTTTCACTGAATATAGAATTAAAATGATGTTAATAGCAATTAACTATTGGTCCAGAATATCTTTGGAGTATTTTAGCAGACACTGTTTAATGCATTTGATTAATATTGGCACTTTACCCTCTGTCTACATATATTTTCTAGGACCCAAGCAGTGATAGCCCAACTTCCTATATAATGGATCATAATTTTATTTCCCTATTATTGAACACTTATTTTCTAAAATACTATTGGCAATGATACTGAATGAAGAGTCAACTATTTTATTATATTTGTTTGTTTGTTTCTTTATTTTGCCATAGAGTACATGCATTCATGAGAGACAGAGCCAGAAAAGGAAAATGAGAAATCGCCCCCGCCCCCAGGAGGATGGCCATTCCACAGTCCCTTCTCTAGATTCTTCTTGGGATTTCAGGCATGCACACACACGTCCTACATGTTTTTTCAACCCGCTGGATCCAAAACTCAAACAGCAGTGATGGCCATTTGGTATCAGTGCCTTAACCACACACCACCCACTGGCCCCTCAACTGTTTCATTTTTTAATGGTTTAATGTATTTTAATAGTAAACTTACAGGAAAAGCACAAAAGACAGACAACATTAAAAATGTGTACTAGCATGTAGTACAACTCAGAAAAGTACAGTGAATGGATGGAATCCTCTGTATGACAAAAATACTACAATAATTACTTTGTTGAGATGAGGTGGTGCTACAGTGGTAACACAACTGTACCAAAATGGGAAATCCCAGGACCTCCCTGAGCATGTAGTTAGCATGATTGCATGTGGTCCAGACTGGCTGAGATTAGGGATGCATTATGGTAAGAAGATGCTATTGGGGGTGCCTGTCTTTGTCTTTTATTCTCTCTCAGAAGAAATAAAGTATTTTAAAATGCAAAGAATTTTTGTGGTACTGTATTGCTTCTGTATAAAAACAAAAATTAATGATAATTTTCTCTCAAATATGTATAGTTAGTTTTTCACTGCTAGTGTAAGAGTTTCATATATTCACTGTTAACAACAAAGATATCAGAGTTTAAGATAACTATCATCTCAACAACAAGGCCTACATTCACAATAAGAAAAAATACCATTTTTTAGGTTTTAGATTATGGACAGATTAGGAATACAATCTTCCCTATCAAATTTAAAGTGAGATCTTTCAGAAATAGCCCATTATGTTTGTGACAAGACTTTTTTGCCATCAGATGATTCTGCATTCTGTTGTTTGAATAGTTTCCCTGTTCTCAAAATATTTCTAACTTCTAGTTCTAACCATTTATCTGTACTACTAATTAAAAATATAATTTTTAACTACTAGGTTTATAATTTAAAATGAATTCCTAATTCTAATTAGGATGCAAAGAATATTGTGCCACTCTAACAACAAAAAAGCCAAATAAACAACAAAATTATATCCTTTTCTTGAACCTACCAGAGAGTGAAAGGCAACCTAGTAACACGAAATCATAATACCAATACGTTACTTTAAGTGAAAATAGGAATACAGACTGTGGCCAAGCAGAAGGGAAGGAATATCAGAAATCACCTAAAATTGTAAATAACTAGTGAGGTCAAGTGAGGGTTAGTATGTCAGTCTACAATAACTGACGGTACCTGACAAGAAGGGGGAGTCTTTTCCAAGTTCTTTCCCACCAGTTTCTTCTGAGTGTTCAGGAAAAAGACTCGGGGCAGGGCAGACCATAAAGAGCTCTCAGATGTAGATGGCATGTAGGAGATGACCAGCAGATGTTGGGGAAAAGGCACAAAGCATTCAGAGAACCCTGGGATAAGAGCAGCATGCAAGGCACAGGCAAAGACATTCCTGGGGTGGGGGGAGAAGAGTAAAAGGAACTCCCTCCCACTGCTGACAGATGAGGAAACCATCTCAAGAGTAATATTCCATCATTCTGAGGAAAATTCTCCTGCTCCTGGAGTAAAGATGTGAAATTCCCACCACACCAACTGCAGATACTAGATAGAATTTGGTTGCAACATGGAGGAGGCAAGAAGAGTCAGGCTTAAAAAAAAAAAAAAAGAAAGAAAAGAAAAGAAAGTAAAATGTTTAAATTGGCAAAACAAAGCATAGTAAAAAAAATAAATCAGTAGTGTTTTTCTCAAAAGTCATAAAATTCTATTTTGCCTATTCAGTCTTATGTTCAAACTCTCTTCTGTTGAATATGCAGTGTTGCTGTGGTCCAATCTTTCCATTTAAATCCTGGAAGTTAACATCCAACATTGTTACTGATACTTGTCCCTAGCATTAAATTGGTCATTTTCTTGGTTAAAAAAAAAAAAAGTGTCAGGAACTCTGAAAAAGTCCTGGCCACAAGGCTCAGGCACATAAGATTTCCCTA